TCTTCTGGGACCTGTGAATTACCAATAACTTTTCAGTGCGATTTGAGTCCTTACAAAGAATTGCATGTGATTTGAACAGGAATGTGGTGCGATACCTGTCAGAATCACATGCAGTTTCCCTGCAAGTGTGGTGTGATTTGAGCCATACAAGATGAATCGCACTGCAAATCGCACCGCAGGACAGGAATAACACCACAGTCCTGTTCAAAATCATATGCAATTATTTGCAGTGTGCGATTTCCATTCATTTTGCATGAGCTCAAATCACAATGCAAAGGTTTCAGGTATCGGAGCATATGCAGGCGTACTCGTATAAATGCTTAGTATTGGCACCAGTACCAATACTGCTATCGGTATCGCTGTGACCCTAGAATAAAGCTTTTTTGGGCGTTTGCAAAAAACCCCGCAAAATCACCTAACATACGCTAAGCTGAAGTGTAAATTGGGGCTGAGTTGATGAGCAGTGAGAACTTCTTGCGATATTCACAGTGTAGCAGCTTCCAGCCAGCTCTCCAGGACACTTCTAAGATTCTGCATACAGGCAGGTGTCTTTTTCTGCTTTCCTTTTAGATGTACCTTGCAGCAGGACACGAAAAATCCTTCAGGCCCCCAGACACAGGCGACCTTCTGTTTCCTTGAAGAACATCACTCTCTCCCCCCCCCCCCCCCCCCCTTTTTTTTTTTTTTTTTTTCTATTCCACTCTTATCTTTAGGCAGCTTTGTCTTGGATTCACATACTAACATGCCAAATGAATACAGCATTGTTTTGCTGTGAGCCACAGATCTGTGATTGGCTGTCTATTCCCGAGTTCAGGCAACTGTCTGCTGATGACATGCCACTAGCTCTACTTACCAGCCACTGTGTCTCTGCTGCTGCAGCCACCTCGGATATGTGACAGGTATACCCCAGGAGGCTGTAGGAGCAGGGACACGTGATTCTTACATAGAAGAGAATTGAGCCGATGGTAGACCAGACTGAAAATAAACCCAAAACGACATTTTACACTTGTAGGGGGGGTTAGGTTACAGAAAGGAAAAGGACAATTTCTGGAGTAAAGGTCTTCTTTAGGGCCCATTCACATTATAAACTTGCACATTTGCATGTGTTTGATGTGCATTTTTATGCATGTTTGCATGCAGTTGATGCTCATTTTTCTATCTGCATTTGCCCTGTGAGGTCACTTCCTTTTTTTTTTTTTTTTTTTTTTTTCTTTGGGCTTCTATGTGCACTGTAATGTACTGCGTTTGCATGAGTTTACATGCATCTGCAGTGCAGAAAAAAAAATACAGCATGCTCTACTTTTTTTTTTTTTTTTTTTGCTTCACTGCAATGATGTGAACTATGCCCATAGGACAGCTTGGATTTTGGACTGTTATGCAGTTGGCGTTCAGTCACAAATGCATCCAATTGCATTCAACTTCACCTGGTGTGAAAGGGCCATAAAGCCCACTCAGGCTCTCCATCCAGTGACATCCTCCCTAGACAGCAGGTCTGCCTTCTTCTCTGGACTCCTCTCTAGTCCAAGCCAGGGAGTCAAAGACCTCCTCTTATGACAGGAGCCCAGGAGGCAAAGACCCTTCTAGAAGGTCACCCCTTCTATTTATCTCCTTCCCCACACTAGATCACTAGCAATAAATCTCCTAGTGATTGCCCAGGTAGAAATGAATATTCATAACTCAAAACATTTGTTTCTTTTTGCTCTCTCTACTGGAGAACACTCCAGCAACAGCAAGCAAGCCATATCCTGAATTTAATCCTGGTACACACACAGCTAGTTTTTCGTTCAACCCGGAAGGCTTAACAGACTGACACACCACGGTAACAAAACAAGTGACCTAGGTGCAGCTATCTCCCGTGCTGGGCCTTTGTATTCTAAGAGGGGGACTCCCTTCTACCCTTCCCTGAAAACACTGATTATGCTCACAGCCATTGGCTGCAGATGCTGATTGGATGTTGATTTTCCAGCATGTCCCTTCAACAAAAGCTGGTTGTTAGCTGGTTGCTGTGCACATTTCTCAGCCAGTCGATTTTTAGACAGTGTGTACCGAGCATTAGGGGATACCCAAGGAACACAGAAACACAACAGATACAGTGCTGTTTTTCTGTGTGTGAATTTAAGCAGCGATTTTCTTTGCAGCGTTTTCTGTGTGAATTCCACACCGCATCAGAATCCTACCTTGTTCATGTGAACCGCTGCAGGTGCATGTAAGTTAACAACACCCCAAAATTGGTCCGCAAAACGTGGTGCAATGTGCAGAATTCAATTGCATAGGTGTAAATACCCATGTGATCCGATTCTAGTGCGGACCAAGAAAAGGGTCCTGCACCTTTTTGGTTGCGAGTGCGGTGCGATTTGAGCCATACAAAATGTATGGCTCCAATCGCACCGTACACAAATTGCATGTGATTTGCACAGGAATGCGGTGTGGCTTCTGTGCGAATCACATGCGATATACCGTGCCACATATATGTAAACCAGGGGTAAAGCGGTTGTAAACTTAAATAGTGTTAAACACTTTTTTTAAAAAGATAAATGTAACTATATCTTACATATGTTTCTTTAAAGAGAAAAATAAAAGGCTGGTTTGCTATGCTGAGTGCCCAAACTAGATGCTCTGCTTAGCAATAAAATTACCAGGCAGCCAGGGGCGGGCTGACAATCATGGGGCCCCCCGGGCAATAGGGGATCATGGGGCCCCTGTGTTCTTGCCCAAACTCAAAAAGCCTAATGAAAAAGGTACCAGGGGCATCTCATGGGGCCCCCTACTGACCCTGGGCCCTCGGGCAGTGCCCGAGTTTCCAAATGGTCAGTCCACCCCTGCAGGCAGCTATGATGAAAACCAGATGGGTGACAACCCCAGACAGGCAATTGGAGGTTTACAGTATTGTACAGAATAACAATGCTTCTTGTTGAGGAAGTGCAAAGAACTGTGTCAGCATTAACTTAGAACACAAAAGTAAAAAATGGCTGATGTATTGTTTTATTTCACTATTATAACAATCCACTTTTTTTCTTTTACATTTTTGTACTTTTACTAGAGAAATTAAAAGTGTGTGTCTTATATTGTCCATGCCTTTTGTAAAATAACACCTGATTCTTTAAAGGATAAGTGTGCTTTAAAACAAAGTGCTTTTACCCTGACCTAACCCTAGCTGCCATCCACAGATGTTTACCTTCCTTAAACCACCCGTGGCCAACACTGTGTTTTTTTTACGTGGCTGCAAAGGGGGCGTACAGCATGCCAGAGCACATTAATCAGTGTAAATTCATAATCAGAAGCCCCAGTTGTTGTGTACAGCCCCTCATGGAAAGCAATGCTGTATGCAGGCATACACTATTATTTGCGTAAAGCCACATACAGATGTACAAACCTGGGTGCAGACATTCTACTGGTGCTTAACTGCAATTGAGAAAATGAAGTGGTAAATATTGTGACAGGGAAGACAGTTTGCATATACAGTATGTATTTAGCTAATTGCCTGTTTTTGGTCTTAATTTTATATTTCAGTGGTGCAGTGCACTGTGAAGTGCTTTGTTGAGTTGCAGACTTCATCATCTGTCCGCTGACACGACAAAGATTGGCCCAACAGCAGGGGGTTGTTTGATCCGGTTCAGACTGTGGTGTTTATACAAAAGCAGCAGTTTAAAATCTTTAAAGAAATTGCTGGCATATGACTTTTCAGAAAAAATGGAGATCATCCAGTGGTTTCAGAGGGCCAGGGATAGCCTGCTTTCTCAGTGAAGGTCTCATTAAAGCTAGTGTGAACGTAGCCTTAGTCAGTAGGCATCAGACAGGCGTTTTGGAAGCATATTTAATGCTTCTCAAACGCCTATGAAAATTCTGCACATGGCAGCACACAGTGCTGTTCACACTGAAGCGTTAGCATCGCATTGCAGCAAAACTGACACCTCGTGTGGGCATCAGGAGGAGATGAAGCCTCCCATTCAAGTCTATGGTGCCGCTCCGCAAACGCCTGGCAGGCATTTGTGAGGTGGTTGCGGAGCGTTAATTTAACTTCATTATAGCCGTGTTTGTGGTGTGGTTTTAAGGATTGGCAAACGCCTATCAACTTCCTCAAAAACCATGCATAGGGCATTTGGGCAGTGTTATAAACTCTTCCAAAATGCCTGTCTTAACACCTGTCAAACGCTATAGGGGCATTTGGCAAGAGTTAGAAATAAAGTGAAATGTAAACCAGCCCTTACTCATACAGGCAGTACATGCATTTGTTTGTTTAATTTTTTTTGTAATTGAATTAATCCAAAATAATCGTTATTTTCACCAGCCTTTTACATCACCTCTTCACTATAGACTGACACTGACATGGATAATCGTCAAATTGCCCTATTCTGACCCTGGAAGGATAGACACTATAAAGCTAGCTTTCTGGACATATGAGGGATGTGATCATATTGACATTTTGTTTAGGAGGAAAGGGGTTGTCTAATGCAGGCCATAGACGGGTCGTTTATCGGCCGAATTTTCATCCGCACGAAAAATCGGCCGATATTCACGCCGTTAGTGGGGCAATGCCGTCAACCGTTTTTCATGGATCTTCTCGTTTCTTTTTATCGGTCATGCTGGAAAATCTTGGTGGCAGCAACGGCAACGACCGATTTTGCGTTTATAGTCCGACAAATGGCCCGTCTATAGCCAGCCTAAGATGGCTAGTTACAATGCTCTTATCTCTTAAAGACCATGTCAAAAAAGATGAAAATCCTCTAATGAGTTAACTATTTTGTAGCAACATTCAGATCCTACCCTCCCTCCTCGCCCATTATATACACTCATTTATGATAGTGTTATAGTGCATAATGACAACAAAATTGCAATACAACTTAATTTACCTGCTTGCTTCAAATAAAGCCAATACTTTTTCTGTGTTCTTCATTAAACATGTGGTTTTTTTTTTTTTTTTTTTTTTTTTAAATTCATTCATTTATTTTTTTGTTTATTTTTTTAGACTTCATAAATACAGAAACACCGCAGAAAAAGTCATGGAGTTCTGGATCACTGAAACCAATCATACTGTCCACAGTAACAGTTCCAATCTGGCAATTGGCTTCACATCTTCTGCCATATCTGTTATTTTGTTTGGCTCAAATTTTGTGCCGGTGAAGAAGTTTGACACTGGAGATGGTATGTGAAGTTTTTATAAAGCCATGCATTGTGCTGCTCACAAAACCTTTTTTCTTTATAATTAACAAGACTGCATTTCTTATATGGTATACAAAATTGGTCCGATAAACTATACAGGGTGCAGCTCAGGCATGTATATACCTGTGCACAAGTGTGCGCACGGCGCCCCCAAAATAAGAGGTCCCGCAGGGATCAGCACATATTGCACAGTAAAAGTGCACATCTGGCATGCAGTCACTCTTCAGGGAGCAACACAGCCTGCTATAATAGCTCATTGTATTGCATCTTTGCTTCCCTTCCCTGCAATAAGGAAGTGACCACTAGAGACAGAAGGAAGTGCAGGCATCAAACCAGCAGTTTTTTTTTTTTTTTTTTTTTTTTTTTTTTACTGCCTTCTCTCTCTGGTGAGGGTCTGCCCTGAATGCCTGAATGTCATGCTGAATGCCTTCACCCCTCTGCTTAGTTAGACCTCCTTCTGGTAAGTGTCTATAGAGATGCTTATCAGAGGGAGTCTCTCCAATGTCAGAAAGTAAGTATTTTGTCCCATCTTTCTACAATGTGTTTAAATCCAACTGTATGGTCGGACATTGCACCGCCACACCCCTTACTCTCATGGCAGTTCAACAACACAGCTAGCAAGCAGATGGCTGCTTTGATTCAAAATGCTAGCCTTAGATAAGCGGTGTCATAAATGAAGGGGGGGATTGTCAGCATCCTGGTTTGCTCACTTTGAAGCTGGACACAGGACAGCTCATAGCCTATGCTCCTCAGACATGAGCTGCTTGTAGCAGGAGGAGGCGAGAGGACGAGGCTCCCGATTTATTAATATAACTTCCAAGACTTGTTTCAGAGAAGGGAGAGGGAAGTGATGCAACATGGCAACCTGGAGATGTTCTGTACACCGATTGTGTACAGAACGCCCCCCAAAAATGTCATTTCCTGCATGTGTGATTGGCTCACCGATTTTCCCAGAAGTCAGCACTAAGATACAAGTCAGATTTCAGGCATCCCCTTCAACAAAAGATACAGGCCAATAGGATATTATGTCTAAAGGGAAAACAGACCCTGCAATTTTCCTCACTAGAGCCCTGCGAGTGCAGCAGCTGATTGCTAATTATGAAACCACTCCCATAAAATTCACTTTCCGCGTAGAGACAGATAAACAGCTCTTTGTTCAAAATAACAAAGGGTAGGAATCTGCAACAAAGTTTTTAAAAATCCCTGAAATGTACAAAGATCACACAAAGGAATGTTTTTTTTTTTTTTTTTTTCCCACCAAAAGTGGAGTTACTCTTTAACTAAGCAAGAGGGCGGTGGCTGCCCTGCTACAGTAACACCCACTAATACAGACTGCTTGTGGGGAGAAGCAGAGATGATGTGAATGAAGAAAGGAAAACATGGTTTAAAAGTAGATGATTTGTTGTGGTTTGTTTGTTTTGTTTTTTTTGGTTAAAAAAAAAAAAGAACACTACAGGCTTTGTGAACATGATTTTCTGAAGCAAATCAATACTATTCAGTAGTTCATGACTTTCAAAAACTGTAAATATAGTTTCCAGGTTAAGATATAATAATTCCTAGGAAGCTTATGTGGAACGTTAAAGGTATTATGTGCTTCCAAATGTTTTTGTTGCTTTGTCTAGGTATTAGTGAAGTATATTACCTGTGGTGTTTGACTTGCCTTGTAATAAGGGGCTTACATGTTGTGACTGCCATTTCCAGTGTCATGACTATTCAATTTCCCTATATCCATGCATTGCTGCAGGTAGCTTGTCTCTGTTCAGCAGAGGGACAGGCAACTTCAAGTCCTTTCCTCTGTTTGATCACAAATGTGGTAGTGCTAGTATGATGGAAACATATCTCTTCCAGCATGGGGACATCTGGTAATTTTATTTGCCTGTTTGTGTCTGATCTAATTACTATTTAGCTTCACCTGCACCAGCATTAGACTGAGAAATGTGTGTGTATTTTCTTCAGTTTTCAGACTACAGACAGAGGTTAGCATTAACCTGTACAGTGCCATGCCACATGTTTGAGCACAAACAGAAACTTCTGACATAGGAATGTGAAGATTTACTCTGCAACAGGCTGTGTGTACAGGGCAACAAATTACACCATGAAACTTCATGTTCAATTCACTTAGGCAGGTGAAAAAACGCAAGGTTCTGGAAGGACAGGTGTTTGGTTTTTTTTTTTTTTTTTTTTCTTATCGGCGAGTATGAGTACCGATACTTTCAGTCAAGAACTCGGTGATACTGATTACCGATACTTTGAGGTGCGATTTTCATCAATACAAAATGTATGGACGCACATTGCTTCTCAAAGAATAGCATGCAATTTGAACAGGAAAGTGATTCCTGTGCAGACCGCTTGCGGTTTCCTCACTTGTGTGAACACAGGCTTGTCCTAGATCTCAGTGGGGACCCAAGATGAGGATCTGGGCTGCCCTGTGCAAAAGCCTTACCATAGAGCGTAAAGAGTATGACATGTTTGTTATTTAAAAGAAAAAAAAAAAAAAACCTCAATGTTTAGTATCGCTTTAAGGTCCATTCTAAAACATGGAGAACAATATAACTTTTATAAATTCTAGTAAGATTTCATTTTTGGTATCTGGTATAATTTTTCCTCTGCTAAGCAATATTTAAGCGAGTGTTTTCCAGCTAAAACTGATTAGCAAAACTGGGCTGTGCCAAGCAGCAGATTCTCAAGTCATTTCTTCTCAGAGAAGGTCCTATTAGTTTAAGTCTTTAGTTTCCAGATCACTGCACTGAGAAAGAACATTGTCTGCAACCAAGTTTAGATAAAATAAGGTTTGAAAACTGCTGACTTCAACATATTTTAGTTTGCTATATGTCCCTACAAATATTTTTTTAGCCTTGGAAATTCACTGTAAAATAAAGTAGAATGTCTGTCTGGTCTAGTCTACAAATATCCATGTCTTTTTATATGTCAAATTTTTATCTTTTTCAGGTATGTTCTTCCAGTGGATTCTCTGTGCTTCTATATGGATAGTTGCTTTAGTGGCGAACCTGATCTTGCGCTGTCCAAAATTCTGGCCTCTTGCTATGGTTGGAGGCTGTGTATGGGCAACAGGTAAAATAAGACTTCACATTGATGTAATGTAACTTCTGCTATGAAACAGACTGAATCCCAAAAAGAATAAGAGATTGTCATGAACTGGTATACCTAGCAAAGATGATGCGAAGGCTTCCTTTGTAAAACAAAGTTAGGACTCCCTGGGGTAGATTTACTAAGTCTAAGTTCACACCTATGCAGGTTGCATTTTAGACGTTTCTGCATTGCATTTGTGCACTTCCATTTTTGATGCGGCTTTATTTTTGTCATGTTTTTTTCTGGTTGCTGGGCATTTTTTAAACGCAGAACGCATCAAAAACACAATACATGCTTTTCTGCAGTGTTCCCATTGAAGTCTATAGAACCAAAAACGCTAAATTTTGCATTAAAAAAAGTCCCTGACCCTTTCCAAAATCGCACCGGGTGAAAATACGGAGATGTGAACCTGTCCCATAGGAAATCATGTTAAATGGACTGTACTGCATTCTGAAAAACGCTTTAGAAAACGCTTAGGTTCTTATAGTAAGGGTTTGACTCAATGTGATAGAACAGACAGAGTAGACATAATAAGACAAGGGGGTTTATTTACCAAAGCTGATTCACTCAGAATCTGGTGCACCTGTGCATGGTAGCCAATCAGCTTTTAACCCCAGCTTGTTCAATTAAGCATTAGCAATAAAACCTGGAAGCTGATTGGTTTCCATGCAGAAGTGCACGAGATTCTGAGTGAACAAGCTTTAGCAAATAAACCCCCTTGTCTCATTATGTGTGCTTTGTCTGTGCTATCACAGTAAAGTCAAACCTTTACTATGCATCACAAATGTCCTAATCTTAGTGTAACCGTAATCATTTTTGGACCTACAAGAAGTGGCAAAAATGTGGTTTTAGCCAAATATGAGAGAAATGTGATTGGTAGATATTTTGAAAAAGTTGCACTAAATGTGCCTTGTACATATACCGTGTTTTTCGCTCCATAAGACGCACTTTTTTCCCCCCAAAAAAAAGGGGGGGGAAATGTCAGTGCATCTTATGGAGCGGCCGGTCCGGTATTTCCGCCCTCGCCACTGTGTCAGAATACCGGGCCGGCCGCTCAGCTCTTCTCTGCAGCAGGACCTTACCTGTTTCTTGGTCCAGCGCTGTACAGTCTTCCCGAGCCAGCATCTTTCGTGTGGGCACCCGGCTGTGACAGCCGGGTGCCCACTGCGCATGCGTGAGAAGCGCTGCACTTTGTTAATGGCCCGCCGTCTTCTGGGACACATGACAGGTCCCAGAAGACGCCGGGCCATTTACAAAGTGCAGCGCTTCTCGCGCATGCGCAGTGGGCACCCGGCTGTCAGCCGGGTGCCCACACTAAAGGGAGGACAACTCCGCGGAAGTGGGAGCGGGTACCTGTCAAATTCAGGTACCCGCTCCCCCTCCCCCCCCAAAGGTCTGCAGTCTCTTGGTCATCCCCTGTACTGTCTGCAGTCTCTTGGTCATCCCCTGTACTGTCTGCAGTCTCTTGGTCATCCCCTGTACTGTCTGCAGTCTCTTGGTCATCCCCTGTACTGTCTGCAGTCTCTTGGTCATCCCCTGTACTGTCTGCAGTCTCTTGGTCATCCCCTGTACTGTCTGCAGTCTCTTGGTCATCCCCTGTACTGTCTGCAGTCTCTTGGTCATCCCTTGTACCGTCAGTCTCTTGGTCATCCCTTGTACTAGGTCTGCAGTCTCTGGTCATCCCTTGTACTAGGTCTGCAGTCTCTGGTCATCCCTTGTACTAGGTCTGCAGTCTCTGGTCATCCCTTGTACTAGGTCTGCAGTCTCTGGTCATCCCTTGTACTAGGTCTGCAGTCTCTGGTCATCCCTTGTACTAGGTCTGCAGTCTCTGGTCATCCCTTGTACTAGGTCTGCAGTCTCTGGTCATCCCTTGTACTAGGTCTGCAGTCTCTGGTCATCCCTTGTACTAGGTCTGCAGTCTCTGGTCATCCCTTGTACTAGGTCTGCAGTCTCTGGTCATCCCTTGTACTAGGTCTGCAGTCTCTGGTCATCCCTTGTACTAGGTCTGCAGTCTCTGGTCATCCCTTGTACTAGGTCTGCAGTCTCTGGTTGTTTTCTGTACTATGTCTGCAGTCCATTGGTTCAGAATATTTTTTTTCTTGTTTTTCACCTCTAAAACCTAGGTGCATCCTATGGTCAGGTGCATCTTATGGAGCGAAAAATACGGTAACTTATGTACTCTCTTGTTCTGTCATTTCTTCAGGACATTCACTTGCTGTTGTCTAATAAATCTCTGAAAAAAGCCGCATTTTCTGTTCGCATCTTTATTACAAATGTAGCTGAGGATGCTGCTGTTCTCATGCCCATAATGTTATGGATCCCAAGCGTGCTCTGCCCTTCTATTTACCGGATATTTGCTAACATCTATATTATGTACAGAACAGAGCAGTGTTTCTGGCCATCACATTGCATTTCCCTTTCACATTGTAATTTTGGGCAATTCAAGCAATTGTACAAAGAGAAACTACAGGTTTTGCTTTAAAAAATATTTAAGGAGTGCAGTGTAGGCTTTAGCAAACATACTATGCTGTCACAGGACCCAGAACTATGGTGTGGAAATAATTTTGTGTGCAGTATTAGTTTAGTCCAGTCCTTGCCATTCCCTAACTAACATCTAGCTGGTGTTAGTATAGAATACTTTCATCTAGAGATCACACAAGCTAGGATGAAAACCAGTTTTTATCCTAAAGGGGTTTTAAATACATCCTTTCTGTTCTTAAAGCTGAACCCTGTGGAGGTGATGTGGATGAACATTACAATCTCCCTTACACCAAGGACATCATGCTTTGCATACCTTGAAAACCATGCAAGACATTTTCAGAATGGATGAACTGCAGAGCAAGAAACCTACTGTGATCTGTGTACTTCAGATGGAACTGTATGTTTCAGAACCAGATGTTTGGTGCTGACTGTATTGTACAGGGTGAATGAACATAAGAACATTACGTAACAGCAGCAGCTGCACATTTCAGTAGTGTTGACCTAATTTTATAAGCAAATGGCCAAAAATTGTATTTTGGCTGGAGTTCTAGTAATAGAACTTGAATTTGCACAAGGCTTTTGTTGCTTTAGGTTACAGTAACCTGGATGAATGTCAAAGTATCTTTCACCTATTTAGTAATTCTTAAATTTACATATCACTCAAACAAAATAGTGCAATGTGAGAAGTATGATTTTAGCTCCATCGGGTGCATACATCACAACTGACTAATTTGTTTTTCTTGAAAATTAGCAGTATACCTTAGTGTTACTGATCACTGTTTATTTTTTTTAGTAGCATATACCTATTTTGATACTATATAATATAACTAGTCTTCAGGGGATTTTTTTTTATTAATTTGTATCCTGATTTTTCTGTCATTTTTTTTATCATTTTAACTGGCAGTAATTTAAAATGTGTATACTCCCCAGAAAAGTGTATTTATGAAATTCACTAATCCAAAATACTCCAGAGTGTGAAGATAAGGGGATTAGACTGGTAACACTGACACACTTTTTTATTTTAAATCCTGTAACGTTTTTAGTATTTTAGTATAAAAATACATGCCCTGAAAGCAAATTATTGGCTTTACATTGCTATTAGATTGTGTGTTTGTTTCCATGTAGCTGTAAATGCAACCTCTAAAACAAAAGGCATGTCAGCACATTCATTATCCTTCCTTAAAAAAACTTATCTAGAAGTAAGCTGCAGTGGCCAAGTGATGAAGGCTTACTGTAATTCAATCCAAGTTATTTATTTTTTAACCCCTTCATGACCAAGGACAAAATAAATCTTAAAATCCAAACCCAGACTTGCAACCTTGGCATATGTTAGTAAAACTGTACAAAAAATGGCCCAAAATAGTAAAAAATATAATTTTTTTTAAATTGTATATTTGTATGTCATTACTATAACCTACCCCCCCCAAGGTGTGTGTGTGTGTGTGTGTGTGTGTGTGTGTTAAAATGTGTGATTTTTATCCTAAATTCTCAAACTGATACTAAATATAAAACCTTTTTTTTCCCCAACCTAAGACACATTAAAACAGGCCATAATGTAATTGTTTTTGTTTTTTTTGTTTTGTTTTTTTTTTTTTTTTTTTTTTTGGAGCAATCCCTCCCGCAGCACGATCATGTTATGTAGATAGTAAATGCATGCAAAATATCCGACAGGCTGTGCATAATTAAGTCGATAGATTGACTTCAGTAAAACCAGCCTGCCCGAAGATGGATCGAATCTCGGTCGGTCTCTGCTGCACATCTATCTATGGCTGGCTTATTTTTTTTTAAATAAATAAACTTTTTTTTTTTTTTTTCTTTTTTTTTTTCATTTGCTCAGACAAGATTCTTTGTTACTGAGGATAAAAACATACAAGGGGGTTGATTTAATGAAAACAGAGTGCAAAATCTGGTGCAGCTTTGCATAGAAACGAATCAGCTTCCAGGTTTTGTTTTTGTCAAAGCTTAATTGAACAAGCTAAAGTTAAAAGCTGATTGGCTACCATGCACAGCTGCACCAGATTTTGCACTCTCCAGTTTTAGTAAATCAACCCCAATGTATCTTTTCCTCTTTGCAGAGAAGACATAATACTGGGGCAGGTTTTCAGAGTAGTGATAACTGTAATCAGCTAATCACAGTGATCACATGATAGGGAGTCTGTCCTGACTCCTTATGCTTAGCAGGAGCTGTCAGTGACAGCTTGGACTCAGTGCTGGGGCCGCATGATTGCACACGCTTTCTGCACACAGTTGCGCATTTATGCAGCACTCGGGAAGAAAGCCCATTTTCTAGAAGAATGTAGACTGTCCTTACTAAATGCTTCTTCTGAAAATGCCAATTCTCTGGCTGTCATCCTGGTGACCTTTCTTAAATTATTGACTCAGATCAGTTATGCATCTCAGGAATTTAACTTCACGTGGCAGTCTTCGCAGTTGTGTTATTTACAGGTTACATGTTGAAAATTTCTAAAGTTGGCCTAAGTAAAGTAAAGATCCAGTTGCTTTACATAAAAAAAGCTATTAGGTAGACACCAATGAAAGCTCTACACCATAGAGAATTTGGTGCACATTGTCTTCCAGTTTCCTGTGTCTGTTTTATGAAAGCTTGGGAAGCAGTACAGCAAGGGCCACCCACACACTTTATAAATAAAAAAAAAATACAGATCTTTCCCATACTATGGGATTTTAATTCACCCTCATTTGACACATTCAAAGCGGTGTGTGTAATACAACATGTTTGTAGCATGTACTGGAAATCTGTTTCCTTTCTTATCAGGCCTGTTCCAGATGCATGCTTCGCACTGTACTGTATAGAACTTATTGCTGATGGGCTGAATGTAAACAATGCCAATGTAATAAGATGATGCCAGCCCGATTATTCATTTAGTTTGAACAAAAGGGATGCAAATAGTTAAAAAAAAAAAATATAGACTAATATATATTTAAAAGGAATGATTAATTGCCCAAATCAATCAGCCGCCCACAAATAGAAACAAAACACTGACGAATCTTCATCTTTGCTAACTGTGAACACATTATCAAAAGGGCCAATACTGTGTTCCATAAAGGGCTACATGGTTTGCACATTTATAGGAGAAGCTCCACAATAAGCTGAGGCATAAAATTGTTATAATTATATGGAAATGTCGCCTTATATATCACTCATCATTGACTGTGCAGTTTTTTTTTTTCTAAAAGTGTTGCATGTGCATACGTGCAGTCTAAGAAGGCTTTAATCAGAGCCCTTTAATAACAGTACAAGCCATTTCTATCAGAGGCACTGGTCAAACTTTATAGCCAAGTTATTCACAGTAAAAGAAATGTTTGTGCATCCAGCTGGAGCTCTTGTTCCTAACCAGCATTTGGTAAATTGCTCTTGAAAGTTAATTTAGTGATTTCTATTGCTTTGTGTGCAGGAAATATTACAGTTGTTCCAATTGTGAAAACCGTAGGACTTGGGTTAGGCCTTCTTCTATGGGCTTCCACCAATCTTCTCACTGGCTGGGCAAGTTCAAGGTATTTAAATTTTATCTGTAGGCATATAAAATGTATTTTGAATATAAATGCCTGCATTGGAATTCTGGAATTTGCTTTAAGCTCCATGCACACTAGCATTTTTTTTATAAGCTCAAAAAATGCTGGATGAAAAATGCTGATAGCGTTTTGTGCTGGCTTGTAGTAGCTGTTTAGTAGCATTAATGTTTTTTTTTTATTAGCATTTTTACAGTATATGAAGAAAAAAATGCTTGAAAAAGCGATTAGGACCATTTTAGTAGTATATAGGAGCACTCATAGTTTTTTTTTTTTTTTTTTTTTTTTTTTTTGCTGGGAAAACACTGCCAAAACTCTGAAGAATGCTTCTAAATAGTGTGCATGGACACATAGGATAACACTATTGGCTTCTAGGAACAGAAAAAAATGCTCCTAATAGTTTCTAGGAGCTTAACAACGCTTGTGTGCATGGAGCCTTAGTCTATGTAATACTTTGTACAGCAGGACTTGGGTGGGTGAGGGAGGGGCGGCACTCCCAGTCAGGTGTCCTGCCTTCAGATGTGCTGACAAAGAACATGCTGACTAGAGGAAAGAGCAGAGAGATGCCCTTACCAATCGTTTGCTGGTTCTTCACTGTCCAGTCACAGGCTGGGGGCAGGAAGGTGACCTCACCATGTTGCCCAACTGAGTTCTGCAGCCTAATAAGGCTGTATTTGTCTTAGGACTAGATGGACAAATACAAAGCTATTGACAGCCACCATGCATGTATTCTGTGTAATTAACAGTTTGCCTGGAGTTCATCTTAAAGGAATGGAAAAATCATCATAAAACTATAACATATCTCTAATGTCCGGACTAAACATTTAGATTTACTTTGAGTGTAATTGCAAATGTATGATTATGCTTTTTTTTTTTTTTTTTTTTTTTTTTTTTTTTTTCTTCATTTGATTTACATTAATCTTTTCTAAACCTACTGTTGGTTTACAATTGCACTAGATATCGTTGTGAATTATCTAAAATCCTCTTTTCTGCCCTTAATGATTGTGTTTTTGTTTTTACTAACTTCATGGTTCAAAGAAAACTATGGCCAAAGCTTTTTTGGCCATACTAGTCTTCACAGGAGTGCACTTATTTTTGCCCTCTTGTGACCCACTCACAGCGGGCATCACAGAGCCGCTTCAGGCTCTGGAAGGATCCTGGCCATATTGTTTGGTATCCGCTCAGATGCCTGATTGGTAGCTGACTCGGCCACCGCTGAGAGCTGGAGCCAGCTGGTCCCACCCTCTTTCCTGCCTGGTGCTCCAGTGAGCACTGCAAAAAGAGAGGAGACAGTTAATTGACAGGGCTCTCTGTTCTCATCAGACTGATTACTGAGCCATCAGTGGTCAAGTGTTCATTCAGTTTGCTCAGAATCTTGAGCTTATAACTGGCGGGCGACAGCTGCAGCATCAGACTGATACTGTAGCATGAAGGCGAGATGTTTGCTTTTATTAAAACCCCAAACTTTTCCTTTTAAGGTTTATCAGTTGTCACCCACCCACCCCCAATGGCAGGGCCCTTACTTGCCACTGTGACACTCATGGTAGATGGAGTCAGTGAAGTCTGACCCCAGTAACAAAGTGAAATTGAAGGGCACAAGAGAAACTTTGCTATTCCTTAAAGGCAATCTTGTGATATCTATTGTAAGTAGCCCTTTTACTTTTAAAAGTTTAAACAGGATTACAGGGTCAGTTTAAAGACCACAATTTAGGTTTAGATCAAGGGTTTGGAAGCTAGAACCTCTGTCAGGCTTTACTGCTGTGTATATCCCCATTGGTGAAATTAACACTCGCCATTTATTATGGTGGCTTTTGTCACTGGACCTGAAGTATCCAAATGTCACTGAAACAGGAAGAGAGAGTCAGTCTTCCAAAGACCAGGATGTTATAGGAAACCTGTATGTAATCGAAGATCTGTTATCACTGCCTGGGCTCAAAGCACCCCTGAACTGAGTGCTGCTCACACGTCATCACAGGAGTGCTGCTATTTAAAACATAAAAACATCTGGCGGGGGAAGGCAGCTTTGGTGAGGAGTAGGGAAAACCTTCAGCTAAAATTCCAGTGAAACAACATGCAGGACATGGTATATCAACATGTTCTTATGAAGTGATACGCTATCAACCTACAGTCACCAATCGGAGTCAGAGTTTCAGGAAAGTCTTATATTGAATTGCTGTGCTATGCACTGAAATTTCATATAGCTGATTTGCAGTCTGCGTTTACTATAATTGTAGAGTGACCAAAAGTATTATTTTGTCTCCTGATATTATAAACCACCAATATGAGATGGATTGAAACAAACAGACTGAAGTACAGTTACTTTTCCAGAGCTGTACAGTCAGGTCCATAAATATTGGGACATCGACACAATTCTAAAATTTTTGGCTCTATACACCACCACAATGGATTTGAAATGAAACAAACAAGATGTGCTTTAACTGCAGACTGTCAGCTTTAATTTGAGGGTATTTACATCCAAATCAGGTGAACGGTGTAGGAATTACAACAGTTTGCATATGTGCCTCCCACTTGTTAAGGGACCAAAAGTAATGGGACAATTGGCTTCTCAGCTGTTCCATGGCCAGGTGTGTGTTATTCCCTCATTATCCCAATCAATGAGCAGATAAAAGGTCCAGAGTTCATTTCAAGTGTGCTATTTGCATTTGGAATCTGTTGCTGTCAACTCTCAAGATGAGATCCAAAGAGCTGTCACCATCAGTGAAGCAAGCCATCATTAGGTTGAAAAAACAAAACGAACCCATCAGAGAGATGGCAAAAACATTACGCGTGGCCAAAACAACTGTTTGGAACATTCTTAAAAAGAAGGAACGCACCGGTGAGCTCAGCAACACCAAAAGACCCGGAAGACCACGGAAAACAACTGTGGTGGATGACCGAAGAATTCTTTCCCTGGTGAAGAAAACACCCTACACAACAGTTGGCCAGATCAAGAACACTCTCCAGGAGGTAGGTGTATGTGTGTCAAAGTCAACAATCAAGAGAAGACTTCACCAGAGTGAATACAGAGGGTTCACCACAAGATGTAAACCATTGGTGAGCCTCAAAAACAGGAAGGCCAGATTAGAGTTTGCCAAACGACATCTAAAAAAGCCAATGGCACTGGTTCTCTTGTATTTATTGATGATGTGACTGCTCACAAAAGCAGCAGGATGAATTCTGAAGTGTTTCGGGCAATATTATCTTCTCATATTCAGCCAAATGCTTCAGAACTCATTGGACGCCACTTCAAGGTGCAGATGGACAATGACCCAAAGCATACTGCAAAAGCAACCAAAGAGTTTTTTAAGGGAAAGAAGTGGAATGTTATGCAATGGCCAAGTCAATCACCTGACCTGAATCCGATTGAGCATGCATTTCACTTGCTGAAGACAAAACTGAAGGGAAAATGCCCCAAGAACAAGCAGGAACTGAAGACAGTTGCAGTAGAGGCCTGGCAGAGCATCACCAGGGATGAAACCCAGCGTCTGGTGATGTCTATGCGTTCCAGACTTCAGGCTGTAATTGACTGCAAAGGATTTGCAACCAAGTATTAAGTGAAAGTTTGATTTATGATTATTATTCTGTCCCATTACTTTTGGTCCCTTAACAAGTGGGAGGCACATATGCAAACTGTTGTAATTCCTACGCCGTTCACCTGATTTGGATGTAAATACCCTCAAATTAAAGCTGACAGTCTGCAGTTAAAGCACATCTTGTTCATTTCATTTCAGATCCATTGTGGTGGTGTATAGAGCCAAAAATGTTAGAATTGGGTCGATGTCCCAATATTTATGGACCTGAATATAAGTATTCACTCTGTGAATGTCCTAGAGCGGCCCAGCCAGAGCCCAGACTTGAAAACGATTGAACATCTCTGGAGAGATCTGAAAATGGCTGTGCACCGACGCTCCCCATCCAACCTGATGAAGCTTGAGAGGTACTGCAAAGAAGAATGGGAGAAATTGCCCAAAAATATTGCCAAGCTTGTAGCATCATACTCAAAACGACTTGTGGCTGTAATTGGTGCTAAAGGTGCTTCAACAAAGTATTGAGCAAAGGCTGTGAATACTTATGTACATGTGTTTTTTTTTTTTGTTTTGTTTTTTTTTTTTTAATAAAAATTGCAAAGATTTCAAAACAAAATTATTTCACATTGTCGTTATGGGGTATTGTTTATAGAATGTTGAAGGAAAAAAATTAATTTTAATCAGTTTTGGAATAAGGCTGTAACATAACAAAATCTGGCAAAAGTTAAGCGCTGTGAATACTTTCTGGATGCACTGTATAAGGGGGGGCTGTGGGGGGAGCAACACACAGAACTTTTTTACCTTCATGCATAGAATGCATGTAAATATAACAACCTTCAGCCTTTACAACCACTTTTGATATGCAAACGTATTTTCCTCTTATGTTAAATTGTTACTTCACATATGTTTACATTATTTGAATAGGCTATTGGTAACATTTTATGGTATGTATGTTTGTATTTACTGCTGTTTTCAGAAAACTATCATGTCAAATTTTGTTGTATTAAAGGCAATGATAAAGTATCTAATCTATTTATTTCAGATTTGGCATGTTTGGAATAGATCCAGAAGTAGTTCACAGGCCGTATTTAAACTATGCAGGAGCCGGACTTTCGGCAATAAGGTATTGCTTCTCATTTGTTGCATGAGCATTTTGGAAATTCAACATGCATTGTGTATACTGTAATACTTATTATCATTTTGAATCCATGAAATGTTATCACAGAATTATTTTAATGAGATTATTTGTTGCTTGTTTTTGTTAAAAAGAATAAGACTAATATATGCAGAATATTTGTTTTTCAGTGCAGTTATTTTCCTCTTTGTGAAAACTGATGTTATATCTGTTACGTCTGAACCAGACACCACTCCAATTCTAAGGGACAGTGTATGTATTACAAAGTAAAAGCAGTGTTTATTGCTTGCTTTTATGTGTTGTGTATTCCACATCAAAGGTTCCCATCTGCTTATTGTCAGTCAGAGCCAGGTAAAGGGAAGTTGCATTACCTATAACATTTTTTTTTTATGGCTTACATATTTGTATTAGTGTAAGCAGTATAGCAGTAAAACCACCGTTTTTAATTTAGGAAACCAGTCAAGGATCACCCTTTGGCTGCATTTAGTTTATTTATGTGCACTAACAAACCTGCATCTCTTACTGCATTTTCACATGCCTGACATGCTTATGGTATTTTGGATAATTTGTTTTGCAACGTAAGGGAAAGAACATTCAATATGACAAGCAATAGTACAAATAATTTTATACAGGAACAAAACATGTGCCAAATGTGTTTTGTGCGTATGTTGAACTGCTTGCTTATGATAATATTTTACTACAGTACAGTGATTAACTCCACTGAAATAAATGGCTTTTACACACAAATAACAAATAATCAACGTCACTTCCTAGACGCACTGGTGCATGCGCAGTCCCGCGGAGCGGCTTGTTCTGATTGCCGGACCTGACACTTGTATTCTCACTGTGGAGCCACGGCCTTCCCAGTAGCATGTGCGACCGCCACGTTCAGCCATCATACTGCGCCGCTACACGCGGTATGCCATACATACTTTTTGCCTATCATCACGGCAGTTTTGGGGCTGGTAACAAGCGTCTGACCCAGTAGTGGATGATAGGTTTTCCTACATCGGGAGGACTTCCACTTGCTAATATACAGGACTCAACTCCACTGACTTCAGTAACTATCCCTGCATGGGCTACAGGTCGGTCGAGGACTATCAGCTGTTGCAGGTTTGACATAAGCTCCCCACTTTATTATATCTGAATTCTTTGTGGACTTTGATTCACTGGGTCTCTGCTTGATAAACCCCATGCTTCAACCATTTAAGGCATTTATTTATTATGCACAACAGTGGGCTCTATGAGGAGATTATGCCACCTGTATATATGTCTCCATGACAATCATTACTGACTTTGTAAATGGTATCTGTGATATTGGGCTCATCGTGTCACATACTACCATCATCATTCTATCATCTATTCAAGCATTTTTTACATATTAAGGAGACTTATTCAATATTACTTTTCATCACAAGCCTAACCGCATACTTCTGATGAGAGATCTGCAATATTGCTATATATCATCTTATACTTGAGGAATGACTTTCAGTTTTTTGTCCTTATATTAGGGATTATTCCGTTATCAGTTTTGATGGCTATATCAAGGATTATGTTTATTTAGATTTACTATTATGCACTTTTCTGTGTAGTTATACATGTTTATGCGATCTATACATGAGTCACTTGTCCTTGGTATTCATCATACCCTTTTGAGCTATACATACTATTATCTCCCTGTCATTTCTATTCAACTGTTTTACTCTTGGATTATCTCATTCATCACAAGTCTATTGTTCATCACACTCTTATGGGACCTTTTGCATGCCTAGCATGTATGTTTTGGTTATTCATGCCAAACATGCTTTTTGATATCTGTATTTTTTTTACTGCAAATTAATTAAATTATTTTTGTCTATTACATGGTTTCATAAAGCTGCAGTTTGTCCTCATTCGGACCCCCTAGACCTGTGGGTCCTTTACCCGCTGGTCTTTTTTCTTTACTTTCTCATTCATTATTCGGGTCCCGAGGACACCACATATATGCAGTTATGTGGTTCAGCATCACTTATAATTGGATCATTATCTCCACATGGTAATTTTCGACCCTGAGCTCTGGGAATCCTGGTGTATCTCCTTTTTTTTTCATTGGATGTGTATATGCCGCCATATGTAATTTGGGGTCTGTGTAACGTGTGTTTTTTTTTTTTTTTTTTTTTTTTTTTTTTTTTTTTTTTTTAAATTTAAAAAGTCAGGAGGAAATGGAATTTGCCCTGAATTTAAAATCCTTTTTCCCTTTGTACAGTGGGGCAAAAAAGTATTTAGTCAGCCACCAATTGTGCAAGTTCTCCCACTTAAAAAGATGAGAGAGGCCTGTAATTGGCATCATAGGTAGACCTCAACTATGAGAGACAAAATGAGAAACAAAATCCAGACAATCACATTGGCTGATTTGGAAAGAATTTATTTGCAAATTATGGTGGAAAATAAGTATTTGGTCGCCTACAAACAAGCAAGATTTCTGGCTCTCACAGACCTGTACCTTCTTTAAGAGGCTCCTCTGTCCTGCACTCATTACCTGTATCAATGGCACCTGTTTGAACTTGTTATCAGTATAAAAGACACCTGTCCACAACCTCACACAGTCACACTCCAAACTCCACTATGGTGAAGACTAAAAAGCTGTTGAAGGACACCAGAAACAAAATTGTAGACCTGCACCAGGCTGGGAAGACTGAATCTGCAATAGCCAAGCAGCTTGGTGTGAACAAATCAACTGTGGGAGCAATAATTAGAAAATGGAAAACATACAAGACCACTGATAATTTCCCTCGATCTGGGGCTCCACGCAAGATCTACCCCGTGGGGTCAAAATGATCACAAGAACGGTGAGCAAAAATCCCAGGACCACACGGGGGGACCTAGTGAATGACCTGCAGAGAGCTGGGACCAACGTAACAAAGGCTACTATCAGTAACACACTACGCCGCCAGGGACTCAGATCCTGCAGTGCCAGACATGTCCCCCTGCTTAAGCCAGTACATGTCCGGGTCCGTCTGACGTTTGCTAGAGAGCATTTGGATGATCCAGAAGAGGATTGGGAGAATGTCATATGGTCAGATGAAACCAAAATAGAACTGTTTGGTAGAAACACAACTCGTCATATTTGGAGGAGAGAGAATGCTGAGTTGCATCCAAAGAACACCATACCTACTGTGAAGCATGGGGGTGGCAACATCATGCTTTGGGGCTGTTTCTCCGCAAAGGGACCAGGATGACTGATCCATGTACAGGACAGAATGAATGGGGCCATGTATCGTGAGATTTTGAGTGCAAACCTTCCATCAGCAAGGGCATTGAAGATGAAACGTGGCTGGGTTTTCCAACATGATAATGATCCCAAACATACCGCCCGGGCAACAAAGGAGTGGCTTCGTAAGAAGCATTTCAAGGTCCTGGAGTGGCCTAGCCAGTCTCCAGATCTCAACCCCATAGAAAACCTTTGGAGGGAGTTGAAAGTCCGTGTTGTCCAGCGACAGCCCCAAAACATCACTGCTCTAGAGGAGATCTGCATGGAGGAATGGGCCAACATACCAGCAACCGTGTGTGCAAACCTTGTGAAGACTTACAGGAAACGTTTGACCTCATTGCCAACAAAGGATGTATAACAAAGTATTGAGATGAACTTTTGATATTGACCAAATACTTATTTTCCACCATAATTTGCAAATAAATTCTTTCCAAATCAGCCAATGTGATTGTCTGGATTTTTTTTCTCATTTTGTCTCTCATAGTTGAGGTCTACCTATGATGCCAATTACAGGCCTCTCATCTTTTTAAGTGGGAGAACTTGCACAATTGGTGGCTGACTAAATAAATACTTTTTTGCCCCACTGTAAATGGAGGGGGAAGGTGCAGTTTTAGTGGTCTTTTGATGCATAATCATGCAAGCTTGTGCCAGCCGGGTATGTGTGTTTTCTTGCTGCAGCAGGGAGTGCATTATACATGTATTTTCTTTTCGATAATTTTATCCACTGATGTAATGATTATACTCCAAAAAAAATCACCTAGACTTGACGTCAATACTATTGTATGGAGTGCCAGTGATTTATAGAAGCCTTGCATGTTGGAAAATTTCCACACAGCATTTTCCAGTTGTGCTTGGATAAGTTAATGTGGGTTTGTGGGAGTGTTTCACTAGACCTTCATTCTTTAAAGGACACGGGGGCAGAATACATTTTGGAAATGACTTGAGTGTACTGCTGCCTACAGGAGAAGTAGACACAAGACAAACAAAAAAAAATGTTGGTCAGGTATAACCCCTCCCATTCCCATCATGCTTCCTTTTTTTTTTTTTTTTTGTCTTTGTTCAAGGACAAACCACATTCACTTAGATATTTTTTGTTTTCTTTCAAAATAATTTTTCTTCAATCATGACTCTTGTTAGCTGCAAATGCTGATCTTCAATGATGCCTTGGAGCCCGAACGCCCTAATGAAGACATTGGGCCTGCCTGCAATGTGACCTTCAGTAAATGGACTATGCTTGGGGTGCTCTTCAAACACCTATTGTACGGTTACTGCCTCTGGTGACTCTTATTGGAGAATGCCCAAGATTGTCTGTCTGTAACATGACCTGTTTCACAGAGCCCTGCATTGGTACCTTCAGTACCTTGCAATTGTATTTATTTGCCTCGGGGTGCTCTTTGGACCACCACTGCAGTACGTTACTGGGGGTTTGTCCCTCCTGGAAATTCAGATATGTTACTCTTATCTCCTGCTCATTCTCCTACAGGGTTAACGTTCTGGAGATTTTGTGCTATGATACGTGAATGCATTGCAGACACTGAGGGAACAGCGCTACAACCTTACTGGACATGTTGCAGATATCCTTAATATTACTGTAGCACTTTGGCCTGGGCTGTGCTGTGTCAGGCAAATGTACTTGTGATCTTTCTGTCTCCTCCACATTAAGCATTACATGAGCTCTCTACAACAGCGCTGGTTTATCTAGACAGGTTTATTCTTGCTGTTGGCGAAAAATAACATGGCTGGCAGAGACATAGTAATCTTCCCAGGTTCTGTCGCTGTTTTTGCGAGTCCTCAGATCGACAGAACCTGGGGTGGTAATATAGCTGGCAGAGACCAGTAAAGTAATTCTTGGGCAACAGCAGGGAGTGATGTGGTGGAGAGTCAACGTAACTCGAGGAGGCAGAAAGCAACAGCTTCTATCAGGAAGACAGAGGCCATTTTCATCCTACCCTCAGGATATCGCAAGAGATATCCTGCTTCAAAGTCCACCAAATCTAGATGTATAAGACAACTCATCAGAGCTTACATTCCAAAAGAGAATACTGCTCTTGTGTTTTTATGCACTCTTGCCATCAGGTTAGTGGGGGTTTACTGGGCATTCCAACAACAAGCCTCTGTTGCCTAGCCTAATAAGGCTATCACCTGCTCCTCTGTGCATACCCGCTCTTCCAGGTGGATATCCAATGATCTTCAGATGGAATTTACAGTGAAGTCAAATTTCTTTCTTTTTTTTTTTTTTTTTTTTTTATGTAGCGTAACATTTTCTTGGTGTTTCTTAAGGGACAGAGGTCCCACCACTTTGTGTTTTTATGGTCAATTTCTACTGTTTTTCCACAAGAGTGAAGGATAATGGGAGTGGAATAGGTATACATAGGTGACTAACGGCTTTTTTTTTTTTTTTTTTTTTTTTTTTTTTTTTTTTTTTTTTTTTTTTTTGCCAGCGTTTAGTTATCACTTAGGCAGCAGTATAACCCAATCTTCACTTAATCCCTTCTGACTCTCTTCCAGGGAAAGGAATATACAGAGTCCCAAATCCTATTCTTAAAACCTCTCTGACTACCCATTGCTTCACAATAACTGTATGTCTATTATTGAGGAACACTGAGGAAGCATGTCAGCACAATTCGCATATTGGAGAACATTGGGTCTCAAAGTTGTTGTGTCACTCAAACCTTTATACACACAGACATATTAAACTTTTCTTAATTTATGTTGCTAGGTTCATCCTTCTTCTTTTTTTTTTTTTTTTTTTTTTTTTTTTTTTTTTTTTGTGACAGGTTTGCTGTAATGGTTCCGAAAAAGCTTTGTAATAACTCTCAGATGATTAACCACTAGCCTACAGGGCACTTATACCCCCTTCCTGCCCAGGCCAATTTCCAGCTTTCAGCGCTGTCACACTTTGAATGACAATTGCGCGGTCATACAACACTGTACCCATATGAAATTTTTAGCATTTTTTTTGAGACAGAGCTTTCTTTTGGTGGTATTTAATCACTTCTGGGATTTTTATTTTTTCTTAAACCAAAAACCACTGAAAATTTTGAGAAACTTTTTTTCTTAGTTTTTGTTATACAATTTTGTAAATAAGGGATTTTTCTCCTACACTGATGTGTGGTAATGAGGCTGCACTGATAGGTGGCACTGATGAGGAGGCACTGGTAGGTTGCACTGATGGGCATTGACAGACATCACTGATGGGCACTGAAAGGCAGCACTGATACATGACACTGATATATGGCACTGTTGGGCGGCACTGACTGGCACTGATAGGTGGCACTGATTGGCATTGATAGGTGGCACTGACTGACACTGATGGGTGACATTGAAAGGCAGCTCTGATGGGCACTGGCGCGTGGCACCGATGAGCACTGACTGCTGGCACTGATGGACACTGACAGGTGGCACTTTTGGGGCCAGACTGATCATCAGGGCACACTGATCATCAGTGCCCTGATGATCAGTGTACATGTCCCCTCCGCGGAAAGCCGATTACCGGCTTTCCTCTCCTCGAGCTGTTAGCGTGACTGCTTGAGAGGAGAGAAATGCCGATAACCGGCATTTCCGTGTGTACATGTGATCAGCTGTGATTGGACACAGCTGATCACATGACCGAGCCAACATCTTCGGCTCTTTCCGTGATCCGCTGTGTCCGAGGGACACAGCGCACCGGCGATCGCCGCGCTCCCTGAGTCGTGCATGCGCGGTGAGAATGGAAGGACGTCATATGACGTCCTATCAGAACGAGAGAACCACCTAGCGCCTGCCCTTGTACTATATGGCGGGAGGAAGGTGATTAAAAGATTAGAGAAGCGCAGCTTGTTATCACTAGATGTGTCCACATGCGTGTTGCTAAATTTTCCTAAGCAAGCGAAATTCATGGACAGGAGAAAAGTCATTTATTTCAAGTAACTTTTTTTTTCCTGCAAATCATTGTACTGTATTGCAGTTACGTTCTGCATGCTGAAGTTTTGGGCTGTTAAAACAGTATTAAACCCAAAAGCAAAAATGTAATATGTTACCGCTTACCAATCCTTAGATGTGGTGTCTGAATTAGTTTTCTTTTTTCAGGCATTTTTTCTTCTGTTTTCACCTGGTGATCTGGCCAGTAGCACACCTCCTGTATTAGAGTGCCTTCACTCTGAATGAAGGAGCACAGGGGCACCTTTGGACAGTGGCATTGTCAGTCTAAGGCAGGGGTCTCAAAACTTTCTAAACAGAAGGCCAGTTTACTGTCCTTCAGACTTTGGGGGGTAGATTGTGGCCAATGGTGGGGGGGAGAAAATATCCCACGCCCAGCATCGGTGACAATAAATATTGCCTCTGGTTTTGTCAGTTACATAACTTCAGTGGTCAGTAGGAGAAGGAATAGTCTCCATCATTGTGGTTTCAGTGGGAGAAATAGTGCCCAATGATTGGTGTCAGTGAAAGGATTAGTGACTAATGGTTGGTGTCAGTGAGAGGAATAGTGACCCATTTTTGGTGTCAGTGGGAGGTAAATGAATCGGCATTGGTGTCAGTGGGAGAAATAGTAACCCATCATTGGTATCAATAGGAAGAAAAGCCTCCCCCCCCCCTTGGTATCAATGGGAAGAATAGTGCACCATTCTTGATATCTGTATAAGGAATAGTGCCCCATCTTTGGTGTCAGTGGGAGGAATAGTGCCCCAAGGGCCAAATAAAGGGTAGCAACACGCCATAGTTTGGAGATCCCTGGGCAAGGGGTATGGGGCGTGTTTAGATGGACTAGCAGATTTAGATACACTTACAAATTGAAGCCATTCTCTAGCTAACACTGCAGTTACACAAGCAGTTACAGAAACCGTTTTCTTTTGGGATAAAGGCTAAATGCTACCTTTTTTGCAGAAGAGCTTGTTCTGTTGAAAAATACTTAGGCAGCCCATAGATTTTTCAATCAGATTGAATGAAATAAATTATTCAGTTTCCCACTGTCAGAATATGCTAATCAGCATTGCAGACTATAGCCTTCAGTGCTGATCGAGCGAGGAAAATCCGACAGGGCAGTTGAAAAGGTAGATAGATTTCTCTACCTCGCTGCTCATTAATGGATCAAAATTCGGCTATTCCCCCTTGAAGTGGGCACATTTCGTTCCATGTATAGCTGGCTTTATTGGCTAGATCACCAGGTGAAAATAAAAGGGACCCCCCCCCCCTAAAAAAACAAATGCAGCCACCACAACAAAGAATTGGTAAGCTGCAATATAATGTTTTTTGGTTTAATACCACTTTAACCTGCCTTCTGCAATTCAGTCCATTCTAATGAGGTGCTTTAAAATCATTCCTCACGTGCTCGCTTAATATAAAATGCTTACATTTTTGTGTGTATTTGATGTGAGCAAATCTTAATTAGGACAGTAATTTGTTTGAATAAGTGGCATGTGCAGCTGAAAAAAACTTTTTTTAATTTGTTTGAACAGATCAATTCAGAGGAGGACATGCCATCAGATGAGTCATGGTTAGACAAATTATCACCTTTACAAGGACGAATAATGTAAGTAAATATTCCTGTCATTCTCATTACACTAAAACAGATTAAGTCAGTTTGAAGAAAAAAATATCTGGAATTATTATTCGCACTATACTTACAATACTATGAACAAATATAAATGCAGGGTGTAGCCATTACACATTTTGTGTGACGTGGGTTTTCCAAGGAGAGCACAGTAGATTTTTTTTTTTTTTTTTTTTTTTTGTCTTGAAAATCTGCACAGAGACATACATTAGGGGGCTCTGGGGTCAAACCTGTTAGAAGGGGATGAGCAAGATCTGGGGATGGACACTCAGTGTTTGTGAATGCATTATAAAGGTTGTAAAAAGTTAATTGAATTTTCAGAAGGATTAGGCAGATGTGTGGCTTCCTACAGTACCTCTGCCTGTTCACAAAGAGAACGGATCCAGCAAGCTACATGCAGCCAGAGGTGACACCTTGAGCAGTGCTATTCACTGTAATTTTGTAACCATTTTTTAAATGAATGATACTTGTAAGCTTTCCACATTTGTTTATTTATATTTTATCTGCTCTTATGTTCCTGACAGAGGCTCAGTGATGGCAATTTTTGCCGGGGTCCTTTATGGCTCCTGTTTTATTCCTGTCCTCTATATCAAAGACCACAGCAAGCGAAATGACAGCATGTATGCTGGAGCAAGCCAATTTGGTAAGAGAAAGATAAACCGGATCTGCTCTTTTTTCATAGTTCTGCAGTTATTGATGGTTGAAGGTATTTTGTAACTAGTTTCAGCAATGGTGTGATTTACATTTGTAAAAAGAGAAGTGGTATGCCTATTTTATGAGTGTTTATATTGCTTTTTAAATAGTGGCATCAAGCTTTTTAAAGAAAATTATGATGCTTTTATGGGCATGATTAATCCTAAAAATTAAATGTTGCCTGCTGACTTATCTCAACAAAGACACAATTACTTTGTGTCATAACACACTACTTTTGTGTGTTATGGTAAATCCTATTTACCTCTTCTTAATTGATAAATCCATATATGCTTTGTGACCTTTTTTGTGTAGGCAACATTCTGCGATGACACATTCAATTTGTGCATTAACTTGTGAAATTCTTTAATGCCACAACTGATGGGGTGCAATTATTTTCTCTGTGGGATTTGGGTAATTCCTCTGTTAGCACACTCTATTAAAAAAAAAAAAAAATCTCTTTCAGATTTAGATTATGTGTTTGCACACTACAGTGGAATTTTTGTCACCAGCACCGTTTATTTTCTTATCTACTGTGCGGTTATGAAAAATCGTCCTAAAGTTTATCCAAAAGCAATATTGCCTGGTAAGTTTTTCCATCTGTTTCTTCTAGGTTGGACTGTCTGTATTAGACACACCTTCTCAGTGTTCTCCCTCCATGGCCACTGTGCCCATCAGGACTGCTTTTTGATTGACTGCGCACTGCAGTGGGCAGATCAATAGCTGCTATTTAGTCCAATAGAGGCTTTCTAATCCATCACTGCTCTTTACTGCCAATCAGTAGTGAGGATGATCTGATGGGAAAGTAGTTTCTCTCTGTTTCCCCATTAGGCTTCACCCAGTGACATCACCAGTATGCCCCACATTTTTCCGCTCATGGAATCTCCTGTCAGACAGCTCAGTGCGGCTGGGGGTACACATAGCTCTGAATTGGTCTTAACTACTATCAGTTTCCTAATCTGTGAACCAGCGATGTTTCTTTAGGCGTCTATAGCTGCTATAGCAACAAGTTCCTTAAGTGGCTGTAGTTATAACTACCTGAATTTGCCACATACATTGGTAATGCCACTGAATCTGGCAAATATGGTTGCCTAAATTAGGTGCAGGTAGTTGTAAAGGGAACTACCGCCAAAGACCTGTGATTGAAAGTTTTATTGAATTCCCCTGTATGTGTTGTCAGCCTACAACAGGAATTGGCAGCCAAGTGCATTTCTGGCAGATCGAGATATACAGTTGCAAGAAAAAGTATGTGAACCCCTTGGGATTACGTGGAGTTTTGCATGAATTGGGCATAAAATGTGCTCTGAACGTCATCTAAGTCACAACAATAGAAGAACACAGTCTGCTGAACATACTACATAAACATTAGATGTTGCCATGGTTTAATTGCACATAACATGTAAACATTCACAGTGCAGGGAGGAAAAAGTATGTGAGGCCCTAGCTTAATGACTAGAGCTAATTGGAGCCAGGAGTGAGCCAACCTTGACTCCAATCAGTGTGATGATATTGGATGTGTTGCTGACAGCTGTCCTGCCCTTGAAAAAAACACCAAACAGTTTTGGGTTTGTTGGTTTTAAGAAGCACTGTCTGATGTTAACCATGCCTCGCAGAAAAGAGCTCTCAGAAGACCTACGATCAAGAATTGTTGACTTGCATGAAGCTGGAAAGGGTTACAAAAGTATCTCCAAAAGCCTTGATGTTCATGTGTCCACGGTAAGACAGTCTACAAATGGAGAAAGTTTAGCACTGTTGCTACTCTCCCTAGGCGTGGTTGTCCTGTAAAAATGACTGCAAGAGCACAGCGCAGAATGCTGCATGAGGTAAAGAAGAATCCCAGAGTGTCAGCTAAAGACCTACAGATATCTCTGGCACATGCTAACATTTTTGTTGACACATCTACAATAAGGAAAACATTAAACAAGAATGGAGTACATGGGAGGACACACGGAGGAAGCCATTGCTGTCCAAAAAGAATACTGCAGCATGTTTGAAGTGCTGTTCCACAGCACTACTGGCAAAATATACTGTGGACACATGAAACCAAGATTGAGTTGTTTGGGAAGAACACGCAACACTATGTGTGGAGAAAAAAAGGCACAGCACACCAACATCAAAACCTCATCCCCACTATAAAACATGGCGGAGGGAGCATCATGGTTTGGGGCTGCTTTGCTGCCTCAGGGCCTGGACGGATTGTTGTCATTGATGGGAAAATTAATTCCAGAGTTTATCAAGACGTTTTGCAGGAAAACGTATGACCATCTGTCCGCTAACTGAAGCTCCGCAGAGGATGGGTGATGCAACAGGACAATGACCCAATGCATACAAGTAATTCAACAAAACAATGGCTGCAACAGCACAGAATACGCCTTCTGGAGTGGCCCAGTCCTGACCTCAACCGACTGAAATGCTGTGGCATGACCTTAGGAGAGCGATTCACACCAGACATCCCAAGAATATTGCTACACTGAAACAGTTTTGTGAAGAGGAGTGGTCCAAAATTACTCCAGATCGTTGTGCAGGTCTGGTCTGCAACCATAGGAAACGTTTGGTTGAGGGTATTGCTGCCAAAGGAGGGTCAACCAGTTAAGTCCAAAGGTTCACATACTTTTTTCCTCCCTGCACTATGAATGTTTACATGTTGTGTGCAATTAAACCATGGCAACATCTAATGTTTGTGTAGTATTATGTTCAGCAGACTGTGTTCTTCTATTTTTTGTGACTTAGATGACGTTCAGAGCACATTTTATGCCCAATTCATGCAAAACTCCACGTAATCCCAAGGGGTTCACATACTTTTTCTTGCAACTGTATTTCTTTTTTGCAGGGAATAATACAGGAAAATGTGCATGCGTTGTAGAAATGTACTGTCTGTGTTTTTGTTGTTTTTGCCCTAGCATACACTTGGGGGACATATTTATAAAGCAGTGAATCTGACAAACATTCACTGTAAGGAGTAGTTCTTCCGGTGCATGCATTTTACATTACGAGGAATGATTGACCACCTGGGAATAATTGGCGAATGTCACTACTACTTTAAAAATGTGCACTAGAGTATACATATTCTAACATACACTATATTGCCAAAAGTATTGGGATGCCTGCCTTTACATGCGCATGAACTTTAATGGCATCCCAGTCTTAGTCCATAGGATTCAATATTGAGTTGGCCCACCCTTTGCAGCTATAACAGCTTCTACTGTTCTGGGAAGGCTGTCTACAAGGTTTAGGAGTGTGTCTATTGTCAGGCTCTGATGCCGGACGAGAATGTCTGTTTGGCTCGCAGTCCCTATTCTAAATCATCCCAAAGGTGTTCTGACGGGTTGAGGTCAGAACTCTGTACAAGCCAGTTAAATTCCTCCACCCCAAACACGCTCATACATGTCTTTATGGACCTTGCTTTGTGCACTGGTGCACAGTCATGTTGGGAACAGGAAGGGGCCATCCCCAAACTGTTCCCACAACGTTGGAAGCATGAAATTGTCCAAAATGTCTTGGTATGCTGTTGCGCCATATGAGTTCCCTTCACTGGAACTAAGAGGCCAAGCCTAACCCCTGAAAAACAACCATAATCCCCCCTCCACCAAACCCCTGCAACCCCACACCATAATAATCCCCCCTCCACCAAACCTTACACTTGGCACAACGCAGTCATGCAAGTACTGTTGTCCTGGCAACTGCCAAACCCAGACACGTTCATTAGATTGCAAGACCAAGAAGCTTGATTTGTCACTCCAGAGAACACGGCTCCACTGCTCTAGAGTCCAGTGGAGGCATGCTTTACACCACTGCATCCGACACTTTGCATTGCACTTGGTGATGTAAGGCTTGGATGCAGCTGCTCGGCCATGGAAACCGATTCCATGAAGCTCTCTATACAATGTTTTGCTAATCCTGAAGGCCACATGAAGTTTGGAGGTCTTTAGCTATTGACTCTGCAGACAGTTGGCGACTTCTTCGCACTGTGCACTTCAGCATGTGCTGACCCCGCTCTGTCATTTTATCTGGCCTTCCACTTCGTGGCTGAGTTGCTGTTGTTCCCAGTTGCTTCCACTTTGTTATAATACCACTAACGGTTGGTTGGTTTCTTTTTTCTGTGTCTCATGGGGAGTTTTACCCTCATCCTGGTTATTAGGGCAGAAAGTGATGGGAAATCCTATATTAGCGATGAATAATCTTCCAACATGGACATCTGTTCTGGAGACCGCTATCAAAGAGGAGACTTCCTCTCAATGTGAGGATATTCATCTCACTTCCTGCTGCGTCTCCAAGAAAAAATGTTAAGGGAAATCCTCAATGTGACATGGACAGACCAAAAAAAAAAATACAGCGATTTTAAACATTCCCACTCTAACTAAAAAAGAAGATTTTGTCTTTATATATGTTTTTTAAAAATATGGTCGCAATATGAATAGTTTTTTATTATTGCTATCTCATATTTAACATTTGATATCACTCGAATACCTAGAAATCAACATTGTCTATTGGTCTTCAAAAAACTAAAACCTGTGTGTTTTTGAGATCTTTAGCTTGCTAAAAGCTGTTTTGTCCTGGCTTTCATATTCTTTGTAATGCCAATTTTTCCCTATTCTGCATCCTGAAGGTTTTATCTCTGGCTGCCTATGGGCAATAGCAAACTGCTGCTGGTTCCTGGCTAATACCTACCTCAGTGCTGTGGTCAGCTTTCCAATAATCACTGCGGTTAGTATTTATTGTGGTCTTTTGTGATATTCGAGAAAAGTAAATCTTCCACCCAATGTCAAACTGCACAATTACACAACGTGAAATGACCTTTAAGGAATATGTAAGATTCGTCTTAAGCCCCTTTGTCTTAAGCTTCTTGTTAAATAACACCATCCAGATAACATTTTTTACTTGCCTTGTATACAAATATTTTGTCATGTTAAATTTTAAGAGCTCTTTTGGCTTTCTCCTCAGCCAAAGAAAGCCAACACATGCTAAGACCTTTGGGCCTCCAGAGCCTGGTACTAAGGGCTCATGATTCTAAGGCATTAAACTAAACTCATTTTCATCTTGTTATAAAAGGAGTGAAACACGTGGGACTCACTTAATTGGAGGTAAGTTCTGTCCCTGGTGCTGCATAGGAAAATAAAATAAAATTTCAGCTTTAAAAAAGTTACTAATTTAGTTGGCCAATACATGGACTGCAGCTACAGTCATGATCCCGGTATCATTTTTTGCCGACGGCATTTCTTTCTCTTTTGCAGCTGGATTACTCTTACAGGTAGCAAAACGGGTCCCTTCTCCTACCGCTGCTGCCTTTACGGGGCTCTCCCATCCGACCGTAAAGCCTAGTAAGGATGTGACTAATGACATCCATTTGCAAGGAACAAATTTTTTTTTTTTTCCACCTATTGTGGGACGTCAGAAACTGGAAGTGATGAGGATTTTGCCACTTCAGTTTCGGTTTCATGTAAACAAGCCATTACCAACTTGTGAACTCATCTCAGTTGATCTGATGCTTTGGATGCCAGAGAGATCCATGGTCTAACAGACCCCAGATCTCTCCATGAAGATAATCTATGACGGCCCACGTCATCACAAGGAATGTTGTTTATCTCTTGTGATAACAATAAAAATGTTAAAAAATTAAAGTTAGTGTGTTTAAAATAATTAATAAAATACATATTTTAAAGTACCCTTGCCTCCCTGTGCTCAAGGCTAACATGCGCATTGGACCTGCATGCATATGTAAATATCAACCGCACCATACATGTGAGGTATCATCGCAAACATCACAGCAAGAGCAATAATTCTACCACTAGAACTCCTGTTAACTTTAAACTAGTAACCTGTAAAGGCTTTTATTGCGTTGCCTATGAAGATTAGGTACTGTAGTTCGGCACCATTCCACGGGCATACACAGTTTTAAAGCATGGCATGTTTGGGATCTATTTACTTAGCATAACATTATATTTTACCAAACAGTTGTGTCTTTATATTTTTTTGCATACTAAAATTCATTAAAGTGTATAAAAGAGGCTCCTGCTCTTTTTGGTGTGTCACCATAGGAAGGTGCTTCCTAATATGTCACACCTGTGTTAGTGAGGAGGGAGAGAGCCAAGAGAGCCTCTGCACATCTGCACATCGCTGGATCAAGATCGGGCTCAGGTAAGTATAAGGGGTGGGCTGTTAGGGGAACTGCATGCAAAATGTTTTTTTACCTTTTTGTGCATAGAATGCTTAAAGGCTGTTGGCTTGTAGTCCTCAATGAACTACCACAGCGCTGTTGAGCGCCGTGGTGGTTCATTCATTCTTCCTGTCAGTGTATCTGCTTTCTTGTACATCCCCTATGGGCAAGCAACTATACTTACTGATTCACAAATGTGCAGTGCAGATTGAAGCTCAGGTTTCACAGCTAATTGATACAGTAGTTGTTCACTGGTTCAAGTCAGGTTTAGGACAGGATTCGCACTCAGGATTATCCTGTTTAAACATATGCGGTTTAGAAACGGTTCCCATAGAAGCCAATAGCCTGTAATCCCCACCTGCACTGGACCACACTGCTCAGAAATCATACATTACTCTTTTTCAAACCGCACTGAATCCACACCGCTAGTGCACTGGACAAATGTGAACAGGCACTGTAGAAAGCAATGTTTTTTCACGTCATGCGGTTTGGATGCATTTCAAACCACATCCAATCCACATATATGTGAGCCGGCACTTAAGGTGTTCACTAACAATAGTCTTGTTTATGTAGGTATGAGATTTGTTCACAACCACTTCTATTTTCATTCACTCAACATTCGGTGCCCACACTAAATGAGTAATTATGAAGTACCAATTACACATACACAATGCCATTAATTGTAAACCGTAGTAATAGCTTCTCATTAAATATGTAATATATATTTGAGTTTCTAAAACTGTGGGTTGCAGCATTCAGTAAATAAAGTTTAAATAAACTTTATGTATGCTGCAACCCCCAGTTTTGGAATCTAGCTACAACCAGAGAGCCTGGAAGGCAGGCTTCTGGTTGCTTGCATCAGTTACAATGAGCTGTAGGTGCTGTCCACCCTTCTTCAATATGTGGTGAAGATGACTTGCTGAAGTTGAAACCGAGCAACAGAATGGGGAAGAAAGAGGATTAAGTGACTTTGAACGTGGCTTGGTTGCTGGTGCCAGACGGGCTGGTCTGAGTATTTCACAAACTGCTGACCTGCTGGGATTTTCACACACAACCATCTCTAGGGTTGTGTGTGAAACCGTCTCTAGAGAATGGTCCAAAAAAAAAGGAAAATATCCAGTGAGCAGCAATTATGTGGACAAAAATGCCTGGTTGATATCAGAGGAGAATGAGCAGACTGGGTGCTGTGACATTCCGATGGTAGGGTCGGAATTTGTCGTAAACAACATGAAAGCATGCATCCATCCTGCCTTGTATCAACGGTTCAGGCTAGTGGTGGTGTAATGGTGTTATCCCACTCACTGGCCACTTTCTTAGGTAAGCCTTGCTAGTACTGAGTTGGACCCCCTTTTTGCCTTCAGAACTGCCGTACTTCTTCATGGCATAGATTTTTAACAAGGTGGAACATTCCTCAGAGATTTTGGTCCATATTGATATGATGGCATCATGCAGTTGCTGCAGTTTTGTCTGCTGCACATCCATGATGCGAATCCACCACATCCCAAAGGTGTTCTATTGGATTAGGATCTGGAGACTGTGGAGGCCATTGGAGTACAGTGAGCTCATTGTCATGTTCAAGAAACCAGTTTGAGATGATATGCGACATGGTGCATTATCCTGCTGGAACATTGTAGTCATAAAGGAATGGACATGGTCAGCAACAATACTCAGGTAGTCCGTGATGTTTACATGGTGCTCAGTTAGTACTAAGGGGCCCAAAGTGTTCCAAGAAAATATCTCCCACATCATTACACCACCACCACCGGCCTGAACCGTTAATACAAGGCAGGATAGATCCATGCTTTTAAAGTTTATGCCAAATTCTGACCTTACTATCTGAATGTTGCAGCTGAAATTGAGACTCATCAGAGCAGGCAATGTTTTTCTTATATTCTATTGTCCAATTTTGGTGAGTCTGTGTGAATTGTAGCCTCTGTTTCCTGTTCTTAGCTGACAGGAGTGGCACCCGGAGTGGTCTTCTGCTGCTGTAGCCCATCTGCTGATGTAGCCCATCTGCCTCAAGGTTCAATGTATTGTGTGTTCAGAGATGGTATTCTGCATACCTTGGTTGTAACAAGTGGGTATTTGGGTTACTGTTGCCTTTCTATCATCTCAAACCAGTCTGCCTATTCTCCTCTGACCTCTGACATCAACAAGACCTTTTTGTCCACACAACTGCCACTCACTGGATATTTTCTCTTTTTTGGACCATTCTCTGTAAACCCTAGAGATGGTTGTGTGTGCAAATCCCAGTAGATAAGCAGTTTTTTAAATACTCAGACCAGCCCATCTGGCACCAACAACCATGCCACATTCAAAGTCGCTTAGATCCCCTTTCTTCCACATTCTGATGCTCCGTTTGCACTTAAACCTACGTGTGTGTATGTCTGTCAAACCTACTCTTTAGAATTTCAGTTGGTGCAGGCAACATATTCATGTACCTGAATTTGAGGCAAGCACCACTTACAGAGAAGCAGCGGGGCTGGAATGTCTATTTGGATACTGAATCCTCAATGCAGCTGAGGTCTGGATGGGTGGAGCCTGATGGAGACACAGAGAGACTAGTCCCCTATCAAGTATGTTCCTCTTGGGATTGTCATTAGGCAGTGGGCAGAGCCATAGCCAGACAGCCTTCCATGGGCTATAGAATTTGCCTGATGTCAATCACAAGGCGAGTGTCAGCTCCCCGGTCAGGCTCTGCCCAATATCAGTGCCACTAGTTGCTAGGAGGCTATCCACTGTAAAGATGACAGCATCCTCAACAACCTGTAGAACGGAAGGGGGATAGCGGCAGCATCAAGCATGCTACACAGCATACACTCTGCCTGTTTGTGTACACCATCTTACAGTTGGTCTTACTTGCCCCGAGTTTCATTACCTGCAAATTATTATTGAATTTGGTGCAGTAATAGCACCACTTTTACAAATTTAGATCTTTGAATCTGGTGAAGGGCCTTTTAAAGGCAAATCTCCTCAACAAGGACACATGGCAATAAAAACCTAACAGAACTTATAAGCCTTTCCTGTAAACAAAACTTAAAAATGAATTTATGGCTAGAGTTAGGTTTTTATCTGGGGTGTCTGCATTTAAGTGGTATAGGTATTTTCTTGTTTTAGGTTTGAACTCCAGTCAGTGAGTAATGGAAAAATCTCCCAAACTTTCACATTGAGGAGGTTTTCCATTACTTTCTAACCCAATGTTATTAGAGGAAGTGAAAGGGAAACTCTACTTCTGTCTGCAGGAGAAGTATCATCATCGGGATATTTCTACCCACCTCCTGTTCCTTTTACAGTGTCAACTGCCAATGGGGGATGTTGCATTGCTTTATGCACTAGTGGCATAAGACATTGGGGCAAGAAGCAATGATGGATCTCCACCAACAGGGAGAGAGAAATAAAACAATAGAAGTTTAAAGCTTTCCCTGCTCTCTGCAAAGTTACTGTTTATTATTAAAGGGCACAAGCAAATGTGATGTAAAACTTTGCAATGAAACACTTATATACAATTTGTATCTTCACTTCATATTCTGGTAACAGGGTCCTGGTCTGG